CTCAAGCAACAATTCACAACACATGGCTATAGATAACACTTAATCAGGGGACAAATAAATAAAACAATTTTCACACAGAGAGCCGACACCGTAAAGTATAAAATTAAATCCAAATGCATCCCTCTAGTAAACACTTTCAGTACTTCTCTACCAGCACTATCTCAGATAATCAAAAGTTACTGGGAAATACTACATCTCAAAGCAGAACTGAAAACTGTGTTTGAGGAACCCGGCCTTTTAGCCTATTGTAGACCAAAAAATCTTAAGAAATCATAGGTGGTAACCAAATTTCAGACATTAACACAAAATAGACCAAGAATAACAATAGGATTTTCCCAACCATGTAACAACAAAAGGAGCCTAGGTTTTAACTACATTAGACATACCAATTCATTCATTAGCTTAGTCACTAAGTCCGCTTTTAAAATATACCACAACTAAGAAGTCTTAACATAATTTACTTATAAGAATGCACATTATGTCAGAAACAATATGTAGGAAAATCTGAATGGCCATTTAACTACAAAATTAATAATTACTAGCAGCATAGCCCAGCATTGCCCGTGCTTGATTCAAAAAACATACGACTTATACAGCAATCGCTATCACTTGACTTAAAATATTTTTGCTTTTCCTTGCCTTTAAAGGAGTGCCCTTTGCCGTGCTGATGTTGCTACATGCCTTACTTCTTGCCTATCTCACACTGCAGATTTTTTCTAAGCTCTATACTAAACATTAAATCTGTTACGAAAAAAGAACTAAACAAAATGAACACAAAATGATCAGCTTTAAAAAAGGACTTGTAACTGGAAAAACCGAATGAAAAAAGAATGTTAACAACAAATACTTTTTCACACCCAACCCAGTTCTGCACAATCGGAATCAACGTTGAGTTTAAGCAAGCGAATGAGCCAATTGGAGTAAAGTGCCATGCAGATTTAAATTTCTCCTACTTGTGACGAATGCAGCTATCGATTTTTTTTTGCATGCTAGCATACTAGTTAACATTCGTGTCAGTCAGCTGTTGGCTCTCACACTGGCCAATAGAATTTTCCTGCCTATTCGAGGCAGCCAGCTATTGGTTCTCACTCTGGCCAGTACAAAATGATCGCAAACTACATGAAAACTGCCATAGAAGCATGAAAAAATTGACTATTTCCACTATCAATGGGAGTTGGGAAATGCAAAGTTGGTCTTGGCCTTCCTGTTAACTTGGAGCATGTGCATGTAAATTTTGGTGCAAATCCGTCAAAAATTGCAGCCGTGCATTCGTTACACACATCATGCCTTTTATAGATAGAAGATTGGAATCGGATTAAGTTGGCTCCCCAGGAAAGATTATACCCTGCAGAACAACATTCCCACCTCGAAAAACATGATTTTAATAGCCATGCAAAATTCACTATTATTAAAAGAATAGATATAGACACAAAAGAAAAGGTTAGGAAAATACTAGAACATGACGACAAATGGATTTTGTACCTCCCTCAACCACAATAGACAGACATGCTTACAGAGGTGATGAGGTCTCCCATACAAATATATACATAGACATACATTACACACACTCACAAAAAAATTAAAAGATAACATACACATCCCCTTCCTAGCAACCAATAAAGCTGTCAAAAAAACAAATGAAAACTATAGGCCAAGTTCAACTTCCTCAAAATAGTTTCAGAAAATTATACTTTAAAGATTTTTTAATAAAGAGAATTACATTTACACTATGTACATTTTTCTGACAGTTGTCCTCATCTTACCTGCCATATTCATGACATTTCAGCTGTTGTACACTTTGGCATTCTTCAGGTGATATTTGTTGGAATTTTCAAACTGTATCCTTTATTTAGTTCACAATTGTTCTAATTCCATGTACAATGCCTTTGGATATCTCAGTTTTAATTAATTCACCTTTATAATGCAACTCTCTTAAGTTTTTGTTCTCGTTGCTGTGTCCATGGATTGAACTTACAACTCTTTGGGTTAAAAAAAAACCCTTTTGGATCAATCAACCGACCCTTTTATCCACTGGGCTATGTGAAATAAAGATGAAGACAACAGTCCAAAAAATGTAAATTTTTTTCAGAAATAAAGATAGAGAATTACATTGGGCTAACAGATGACTAAGATCAGTAATTTTTAGCAATTTAAAAAAAAACAAAAACAACTTCCAGTCAATTTAGATTAGTCTTGAAATACAGCAAAGTATTTCACTTATTGGAAACATTAAATTTAATCTATTAGCTTGAAAATTAAAACTTTAATAAAAGCTTCAAGAAATATTTTTCATTTTTAAAAATCCATTTTAACCTTAGGTATCACATTTCTTTGAATATATATATATATATATATATATATATATATATAAACCATTATTTAACTTCTCACTTTAAAACTTCTCCCTGTTAAATTTTAATCCCCACCTTCACCTTTAGACCTTTCCTGTTTTTTCTTCTATTACCCCTCTCTCTAGAGCTTTCATACATTTCTCTCTCACCCATTTCCCAGTCCCACACATACACTCTCACTGAAATTTTGTTTTTTATACCCGGAGTTATATTTTCCGATTTCTTTTTCAATTTGTAGGTCTGATGAATTGGATCGTGATTACAATTCCAAGGTAATGAATTATAACCGTGGAATATTAGTGTTTGAGACTTTTCGTCGGTAAACTGAATCAAGTTTTCTCAGCCACTGTGTGTTTATTTAAAAATAAATACGCTTAAATTCACCTTCATCCCTTTCATGTGCCAATGATTTAGGGGTAGAATCCCCAACTGACAACAATTCAGTCGGGTTTCAATCCTAGCTAGAGGCAACCGGACATATAGCCATACTGATGAGCTGTGATACAGTGAAACAGTCTGTCAGTGGATGACAATATACATGCTCCTGAAAAATTTATTTTTGTTGAGCTCTCTGGGGAGGAAGTGTGGGTTTGTAAACAGTGACTATTACGGCTAATAATGCAAAACTCTTTGGTAAATCAAATCGAGTTTTCTCAGTCACTGTGTGTTTATCGAAAAATAAATATGCTTAAATTCACCTTCACCCCTGCTGTGCACCAATGGCTTAGAGGTAGAATCCCTGACTGATGACAATTCAGTCAGGTTTCAATCATAGCTAGAGGCAACCGGACATATAGCCATACTGATGAGCTGTGATACAGCGAAACAGTCTGATGGGAATGACAATATATATATATATATATATATATATAGAGAGAGAGAAAGAAAGAGAGAGAAAGGAATGGGTAGGATAAAAAGTGTATATATGTGCACAAATACTTGCACATACGTAAGTATATTTATTCCTCTGGTGTTATAAATACAGTGCTCAATTTTATGAAACAGAGCTATAAGTATATGTTAGTGAATATACATAATATCCAACGTTGATAGCACTACTCTGAGTTTCATGCAGTTAATTCAATCTTCAGGTGTGGAGATTCCGACCGTTATCTATCACATTCCCATGATGACGATTCAAAATTGTGTGCACAAACTTGTCTATTTAAAGTATAGAATTAACTATAAATAATTTACATCGTTCAAATTCATAAGTTTGAAAGTTGAAGGATTAAAAAATAATAAACAAAAAAAATTATTTGAATTTGGATTTAGATTTGAAAGTAAACAATATATCAAGTAGGTTAACTTGTGTGTTTTTAGCATAAAATACCTAAGTTCTGCCTATTAACACAAACTAGAATGCAGACTAGAAATATAATATAAAGGTGCAAAAATAAATAAATAATAGGTAGGGACTATATATCTAATGTACATAAAAAAGTGAAATTATATATGCACACACAATAAACAGCATCATCAGCATTGTAGACTAACTATTGGAGTGGTTTAATGGTGGCTCATTTTGTTTTCACAAAGTCCATTTTTTTTTCACTCCACATTGTTGTAAACAATCCATTTTTCAACACTTGTGATTATTCTTTTCAAAGATGGATCATTTTGTTGCATTTGAACAGAAAAATTGCAGATGGAAATGCGGTACATGATTTTTTTTTCTGTTAAATTGTGAGACATGTATCTAACTTACTTGTATTATTTACATTATTTGGACTGTTATCCTCATCTTCATTGCCATATTCCCAACGTTTCGGCCATTGCACACTCCAGCCTTCTTCAGGTGATTGGAATTTTGAACCTAACCTGAAGCCGAACACTTTATTTCATCCACCAGGGCAGTTCCAGTTCCACATGCCATGCCTCTTCTGGATGTCTCAGTTATTTCCCTTTAACTCAACTCAGTTTGGGTTCACCACTGCTGTGGCCTGGTATTGAACTCACAACTCTTTGGGTCTAGTCACAAGATCTAACCAAGGTCTTTACTCACTGGGCCATGTGTTCTTGAGGACAGATTGTTCTAGTTCCGTGTACCATGCCTCTTCTGGATGTCTCAGTTATTTTCCTTTAAATCAACTCTCCAAGTTTTGGTTCACCACTGCAGTGGCCTGGTATTGAACTCACAACTCTTTGGGTCTAGTCACTGGATCTAACCAATGTCTTTATCCACTGGTAAACAAAATTAAAGGGTTAGGTTCAAAATTCCAATCACATAAAGAAGGCTGGTGTGTACAACGGCCAAAACATTGTGAATATTGCAATGGAGATGAGGATAACAGTCTGAATAATGTAAATAATGCAAGTAATCCTAATACCTCATCTCAGAGATTCAATCACCTGAAGAAGGCCTGAATGTACAACGGCCGAAACGTTGTGAATATGGCAATGAAAATGAGGATAACAGTCTGAATAATGTAAATAATACAAGTAATCATAATACCTCATCTCAGAGATATAAACAGATGTATCTAAATGTTTTCAAATGCCTTACAACACTTTTATGAAGTATGTGAGGGTATCTCTACAGAGTTTCATATCATATAACTTGGATTAATTTTTAATCAACATTTCAACTTGGTAATCATCGACGACTACAGGTCAGCTGGAATGTTCTTGGTCTTCCAGATCAAAATTTAACACTAGTTCCCATACAATCACTGAAATTAAGCAACTTCAGGCCTGGTCAGTACATAGATGGGTAACCACTTGGGAATACCAGGTGCTGTAACCTTAGCTTTGCAATGATGTAATGGATAATGGCTCAGAATTGTTAGTCAGAGGAGCCGAGTTCCTATTCCCATTAAGTGCATTATAGATGCTCATGCATAAATAGCTGAAGGGAAAGACAAGAATGCACATCTTTTCCCGCCAGCTATGAGTTAATTAGTAAGACTTGTATCACTAAACCATTATTATATTAAAAAAATTTTCTTATCATCTAAAAGTATTTTCTGGCTTTAAATAACCTGCAAAGGATTGATAAACCATAGAAAATAAATCAAACAATCAACCACATCAAAATTTCCACTTCTGAATCTAACAAACCACTTCTTAATCATAGCTATGGCACCAAATCCATAAACAGCACATATCTTTTTTGCTGTTTTTATAGTATTTTTTACTTTTCATCATCACCTTTTATTCAGTTAGCACATTTTGTGCTGCTAGTGGTCACCTCTCTCCTCCATCTCACAGTTGTGGTTCATAGTGAAATTCAAGGCAAAATAGTGCAATGGCTTGCTACTTCCCTTTGCAATGGGGATGTTGAGTTCACTCCATCCCTCCTCTCAGAAGTTAGAGAGGTAGACCTACAAGGCAGCTGATGGTTTGAATTCAGAGTTTTCCTTCACCTAGAGAGGTTTCCAACCAAGGCTAAAGAAAATGTTTTTTTCTTGCATAATCAAACAACTGTCTTGGTGTCATTATTTGTTCATTATAGGGTCACTATAGGCTTGCTTTTGCTGCTAATCTCATAATAGTGCCAACTGACCCATCATATGGTCCTTTCCAATGAGATGTAGCAAATACTGCCACTGCATTAATACTAAAATCAACTTTATGGTTACGCAAATTGCTAAAATATTTATAATGTAAAGCGGCACTATCAAAGGAATAAATCAAATTTTTTTATTTTAAAATTAAGATTTTTTGCAGTATAAGTTTTCTTTGTTTCTTTGAAACAGCTACTGAGTCATGCGTGAGACAATCTGATATAATTACAATATTAATACACTCCAGCTCTTTGTCATTTCTGTAATACAAGACAAATGGATTTAATGTGGCTTGAGAATTATTATAGTGGAAGCCTTGTGTAGCATGATGCAAAATAAATGAAGAATTCTCAGTAAAATAATTATGCCTTCACCATCCATCAAAGAACTTTTCTTAGACAAAATTTTGATTGTCCTTTGGTAATGAAATCATGCTTTTTCAAGCTTTGAAGGCCTACACAAAAAGTTTCAATAAATTCTTTTATAGATTATGATACAGTTTGTAGTGTGGTTCTATCAGTTGATAGCCAATGTTTATAGATAAACACATTTATTAAATTTTTATTTAGAATTTCTTCTCTATATAAAACAAAATCTTCCAACAAATTTCTACAAGTTGAGCAGTCACCTAAATAGCAGTTAAAAGTTGCTTCATTGCTATGCATTGGTGGTGATCTGTTAAATGATATTGCTCATCTTGAGTCAGTGTACCAAGACGAGCTCCGACAATCATCAGATTAATTAATATTTTGATGTATTATGCAAACACAGACACAGTGCGTTCCAGTGTCACCTGCTAGGATATATTCTTTTGGTCTGAGCTCAGCAAATTTTGAAAAACTAATTCTGTTTGGATTTTTTTATTTAAGTAATTGTTACACCTCTTTCAGGTTACAGAGTACAAAATAATTTTGTTCCTGAACTCTTCAACCATTCTTTAAAACTGTCTTACAGACATTTTTTTTTCCAGGCAGCATGCTGCTGACTTCTTCATTCTTATAAAACAGCATAACTTCAATTGTCTCTTGTGGGAATCTACATTTTCATGTATTTGATAGAGTTAATATTCTTTGTTCATTTACAGGCTTTTTGGCTTGTTTTGCTATGTATATTGTGATGCCAAATTCCATTTGAATTCTTTATATATTCCAGCTTTTTGGAAGTATTGTCACAAAATTTGTACTTTTTCAGACCCTCTTTTAATTGTGTAATGATTTCTCTTTCATCTGATCTTTTGTGCACTGGCAGATTCTTAATAAGAAAATTTAGTCAAAATCAATTTAATTTTCTTTGATACTATATTCTAGCAGCAAAAGTTTACACGATTATTTACGCCAGTAGTATGAATTAAGACCAAAATTATAAAATGTTTCAAAAGATATCTCATTGTTTTGCAATAAATAACTTTCACCCATTGAGGATTTCAGTAATAATTATGTTGCATCATTACACCATCATTTTAAAAAAATGAATATTAAATTAAGAATTACTTACTGTTTTGCTTTTCATTGTATTTGGTCAAAAATCACAACTACTATAAAAAGTCACTAATATCTTTACAGACTGGAGAGTGACTTATTTCAGAGGACTAAGCTTATAGGCACTAATTTATGCTGAGGTCAGTGTTTTTTTCACATTGACTTCATAAAATTTTTTATTACTTTTATGACCAGCACATATTTTGACTTACCATAAATTTAAAACAAAATAACAATCATACCAATAATATAATAAATATTGTTTATTATTTTTGTTGTCAATTCTTAAGAACAAAGAAGATGTATAAATTCACTTTCATACTTTTTAGGTTTTATTAGAATTCTAATCATCATGTTTTTAAAATAATAAATATTACTGAGAAATGAAGATAGTTAAAATGTCTGGGAAAAACTATCCTTTTGATACTCCTTCTTATTGTGAGCATGAAGGTCCAAGATTGCCAAAATATTTATAGAAAAGACAAAGGAAAGCATTGAAATATCACCTCTTGGATTATATTCATTTTTTTTTTTTTAAACATTTCACCCCAAGCAAGGTGGGAAGTCACTAGGATGCAAGGGGTTACAGAAAATTTAGAGCAAGATCAAATAGGAGTGATAGAAGAAAGGATGAGGAGGAGGGTAGTGGATAGATCAAGGCAACTGGAGATGTCGATTGACATTACACTTGAATAGCTGGAGATTATAGCTCTCAGGGAAACTGGAATAGGGAAGGGAGTTCCACAGGCGAGAGGTGTGAGACATGAAGCTATGTAATAAATTTCTGTTGCAGAAATTTATAACTTAGAATTACTATCTTTATATTAATAATGTTATAGCAGAAAGCATCATTAGTTTAAAAGTATTTGGTACACTCAGTGAAAATAGTGAGCCAAATTCCAATTCCAATTAATTCTACTGATTTTATTTCACATACATATATTATATTATACATATAATATTCATATTTTTATTACTCCAAATATTATAATGGACACTTTGTATTTGAAATAGACGCCCAATTTTTATTTATTAAACTCTGTGTATTACATCTATCAACCTGTGTATTCAAGAAATCTCAGCAAAGAAAATGCATCCTGCAGCAGGGATTGAATCTGCATCCCCCTTTGTAGGGGAAACTACCATTTGATCCAGTGTGCTTTACCACTCAACCACAAAGAACATCACAACCAAAAATGTTCTATTTTCCCTTTTTAAGGAAAGGACATCTTCACTGAGATTATTTTCTCAAAGCTTCATATCAGCTCAGTTTTGTATCCAAAACGTCAACAAAGCAATTTCTAAAGGATTAATGGATTTATTTTTGGTCCAACATTTTTTTTACTTCAAATGTTATTACAGTGGACATTTCGTATTTGAAATAGACATCCCATTTTTATATATTCATGGTCACCTTGCCTATTTATATGTCCATGTGAATCTGTCTGTCTGTGTGTGTGTGTCTCTCTCTCTCTCCCTCCCCATTTCTGCCTTGATTTGTTCCTACTCACCTGTGACTTGACGTTTCTTCCATCCATTTGTGTTTCAACATTTCCTCAGCCTCTCCAAATTCTGACATTTTTTTTCCTGTCTGCCCACATCTCAACGCTTCCTCTATTCACCTGTTTTCGTACCTTCCTTCTTTCCTTTCACCTGCTTTTCTTTTCGTTTTTCTCTCGCTTTCTTACTTACTTTCTACCTTTCCTTCTTTACAACTGACTTGATTTCACTAATTTTGTTATCCCATAGAAGAATTGCAGGGAAATGACATTTTAATCCTCCTAGGTAGAACACACAGATACTGCACTGATACTTAGTAGACATACTGATCTATGTATATATAGTATCCAGCCATTTTTTATGGGTACTATGCTAGTATTTTTCATTCATTTTAAATAAGGTGTTTAGGACAATTGATTGTGATCACAATAACTATTTGTTGACAAGATTCATGAAATACCTTTGACTCACTGGAAGTAAATATTTTATTTACTTTATTTTTATTCTAAAGACAAAAAAAACCTTATGTTTCAATTAATTCATGAAAAGCTTTTTTATTGTTATTTGTTTTTGTTTGTAGTTTAGTTAGTGTTACTTATTGTTAGCGACTACTAAGACTAAAATTAGTAGCACTAATGGGATTTCATTTTATTATTGCTTTTATTTTTAAATTTTTATATTTTTAAAAAAGTGTTGGGATCTAGAAAAACCTTGTCTACTAAAAAAGTTTAAGTATTGGAAAAAAAACGTCTTAAGTCCTAATTTCTATGTAGTCATAGTATAGTAATACACAAAAAAATACACATTGAGCAATAGTTGTTTGTATACTTCTGTTCAGTTTACAATGAGCTTAGTACTTCTAAGAGTGAATCTAAGATCATCGTGTTAAAGTGGACATGCTACCATGGAATAAATGTTAAACCATATTCCACAGCAGAATAAAAAAAGTAAATAAAATATTTTTTTAAATCAACAAAATATACTAGCTTAAGGCACCATTAAGTAGATTTTTATAAGGATTAAAAAATAAACTCTTTAAAAAAAAAAAAAAAGCTTTGACCTTTTTATAGAGTAAGTAATTTGTTGGGGGTCAGTCAGGTCATCAGTGTTGGTGAAGTTCAGCTTTTGCTCACATGGTGTCGTCCTTGAGTTGTAGTCTGACATATCGAATCACTCTAGTATTTTTATTTTTTATTGACTCATTTATACTAACCCTTGGGTTATGTTAAAGTCTATTCCCAGGAAATGACAGAGTTTTC